ACGAGGGGAATGCGGGGGGGGGGGGATTGGGGGGGGCAGGGGGTGGGAACTGGGTGGAGGGGAGCTATGGGGGGGAAAAGAGGAACAACTGTAATAATCTGAACAATAAAGATTTAATTTAAAAAAATAATACGTAACCTATGGAGGATTCAAACTCTAATGATGAGCTACAGTGTATTAAAATTTCTGTTACTAATATAAACCCTTGATTTCTATGATTTGTAAATAGGTTTGAAGGCAAATACCTGTGCATGATGGATATTGAAAAGAATTCTTAGAGGTTTCAAGTATAAAATGAGCTTGTAATTGGTATTGAAAGTATGGACAATGAATGAGAATTAGATTTTAGATATTCTTGAGGTTAGGTCTTATTCCTTAAATTTGTATATAAATAATGTTTAAAATGGCTTCTACTCATTCTTGTTATTAGCTTTATTATAGTGAAATTGAAATTCAGAATGTGATTTTTGCCCATAACACAAGGAATTAAAACATTCCTTATTGCCTAATTAAGAAACTAATATGTTGACAGCTATAGTTTAAGTATGTTTGTAGTACAAGAAGTATACAACATGTGAAAATACTTTCTTGGTATTCTTGGATTTTAAAAGTAAATTGTAAGTGAAGAGCACTATTTAATATATTTTGTTGCTTAGTTGTTATTTTCCTATTTTCCAAGGAACGTGTTCAAAAAAGTTTTCCTCATCCAATTGATAAGTGGGCAATAGCTGATGCCCAGTCAGCTATTGAAAAAAGGAAGCGAAGAAACCCTTTATCTCTCCCAGTAGAAAAAATTCATCCTTTATTAAAGGTAAAGCTGAAATACTGTCTCTTTTTTTTTTCTTTGCCTTTTAAAAGCAAAATAAAACGTCTACTTTTCAAACACTAAGAATAACATATTTTAGGGAATAAAGTCAACTGAAAAGTAAAAAAGTAATTCTTTTTCATTTAAATTTCTCCAGGAGTTCATGTCATGGGGGGTGAGGAGGATGATATGATAAGAGAAATGTATAAGTTGGGCAACATGATTTAAAGTAATTTCAACAGTAATACTCAAGCAAATTGAAAGAACTAAGAAAGTTGTAGCTGTGGATTTTGTTCATCTCAGAAATCAGTAGAGCCTCAAAGAGAATTTATAACCCTTCTTTCTTGTTGGTTTGACCTGAATGTCCCTATAAATCCTTCAGGTCTTAGTCCTTCACATCGTTGGATGGTAGGGTCCTCTGTGAGACTGTCATTGGGCTGTGTGTACTCTTTGAACAAACATTCCCTAAAGATCACCTAGTCATCCAGTCTTACTTATTTAAATCACTCCGTCAGCTGAGTCTCACCAGAGCTCATAGAAAGAGGAACTGCAGCAAACTAATAATGCTATTTCTATTTTAATACAATGAAGAAACTATTGTTTAACTCTTACATCAAAAATATAGATATTATAAAAATTAAAATCTTAACACTTTGATATCAATAATTTTGTGCATACTATAATACAAGCAAAATGTTAATCCTTGCATGCATGATCTAAGTTTTATTACTGAGCTAAGTTATTATCATTATCCCCAGTTTGTAGATGAGGTAATTGAGGCAGAAAATGATTAAGTAACTTATAATCCAACTTCACAGGGCTATAAGTAAGAGTTAGGAAATCCAGGTCTACTTGATCTGTCCAGGATTTAAGGCTAAACACTTAGGTGATGTTTAAGAGCGTCAAAAGGTTATATTTTATATTCACATTGTTTGAATAGGATTATCTGCCTATGTCTTTAACTAAATAGTCTGAGGTAATAAGTGCAAGTTATATAAAATTACTAAACTAGTAGTAATTGCCTACTTTATAATTATCTTTTCATGATTTTTATCATGTATATGTTGAATTACATTCTAAGAGAAATAACAAGTTGAGATATGTGTATGCTGTATTAATAATCCTGAATTTTGGGTTTTATGGTCTAATAATGGATCTTTCAACTTATTAATATACCCTTGCCACTATAAACATTTAATCGTTTTTACATATCCTGTCCCCAACTCATTAGTAAACTTATTTCAAAGTTGGCTTTTCCACCCCTTAATTGAATTGTTTAGAAAATATAATTTGTTTTCCTATAGGAACTGGTAAACTCCACAAAGCTCATGCTCTCTTTGAAGTCTAATAATAGTGCTATTTAACATGCTGTTAATAACCACTATTGCTCAGTAGGACATAGCATGAACTGTTTTCCATGTAAACAGTTCAGATACCAGGGTTTTGGAAAGCCCAGGTTCCTTTGGAAAGGATAGAGGTACAAGGCTAATAGATATTCATTCACATATACCAATAATATATTAACTCTTGTTCTATATAGAGAAAAAAACCTCTTTTGTCATAGTTAATTCCAGGTATTCTGAATTAGGTTACAACGAGCGTATCCCATTTCCCCAAATTTGGGCTTCCCTTCTTAGATTATGGATTATCTATTTAGTAATCTGTACTTCTTAAGCATTTTACATGATGATAGGTTATTTGGTCTTATCTTTTCTTAGCTCATATTTTCAAGTAGCAATTAATATATTATACATAAATGAGCCACTTAAAATTAAATGTTGTTAATAATCACAGGCCTTAGTAAAAGGTAAGCTAAATTGTATGCATGTTTTAAATCAGTATCAAAGTTATAGTATATGATTTTTAAACATGCTTTTCTTTTAATTTTTCAGGAGGTCCTAGGTTATAAAATTGACCACCAGGTTTCTGTTTACATAGTAGCAGTATTAGAATACATTTCTGCAGACATTTTAAAGCTGGTGGGGAATTATGTACGAAATATACAGCATTATGAAATTACAAAACAAGATATAAAAGTAGCAATGTGTGCTGATAAGGTAGGATACTGATCTTCTCTGTTTTGTTCTTAAATATTTATGTGACTTACTGAATGCTATTTAGTCAGAATAAAATTGTATATCTTGTGTTAAGGTATATTTAAAGTAATCTAATGGCAAGTACTGAAGATATCACTTTAAGAAAATAGAGTATTATATATAGTATTAAAATGTGTTTAAACATGTCATACAGTTTTTCTTTTATGTGTTGCTTCAAGTCGAGTTAATAATAATCTCCTACTAGTGATATCTTAAAATTTTATTTGTATTAGAAGATTTTTGAAAATGTGAAAATACTAAACTCTTAAGAGTTTTATTTTAATACCTAGCTTTCTTTAGATACTATTTGTATGATTTTACTCTAATAAGAGCAAACATTTTTTAAAGTTAAGCATATATGTGATTCATCTCATTTAGTCCTTATGATACTGTTATACAATAGATGCTCTTATCTTATTGTATAAAATGGATACTGAAGATCATAAAGAATTTGGTCCAGAATATTTCAAGAAGTTTCAAAGCCTAGACTTGAACTCCAGATCTCACTCTAAAGTTCTTAGTCATTGCACTATACTACCCCAGAATTTTCATTTTATAAAAATGACTTTGTGGAAAAGAAAATATTTTCTGATGAAGCATTTCATTCCATTTTTTCTTACTATATTGTTATTGACTTGGCATATTATTTCTGATTACTAAATCCATTTACTTTTATTTTAGTGTTTATTTGTTTTTTTAGAATGTGAATGTATAGAGTAAAATTCACCTGATCTGATGAAGGATTTCAAAGGTTTTTTATTTTTAAATGAATAAATATTTGGTTTTCAAGTATTTACTTTTTAATTAACATAAAATATTTGATACTTTTAAATGAACCATACAAATATTTTTGAGTATATCCTACGTGCTCATACAGGGAGGAGATGCAAGAGAAGTATAAAACAAGGTTTCAGAGTTGATACTTACATTTGTGAAACAAGCAGAAAGTCACCCAAGAGAAGATGGTATTTGATTGTGTTATGGGGATAATGATGTAGAAGTTCACGGAAGGGGAAAGATGAGGTTCAGCAAGAGTTATAATGGTAGACTTCTTAGAAAAAACAGAACTTATTTTGATCAATATCCAACAAATGTAGGCAAAGAAGGCTATAAGAATTATTTGAATATGAGGTGGTGAGCCCTAGCCAGTTTGGCTCAGTGGATAGAGTGTCAGCCTGCGGACTGAAGTGTCCCGGGTTCAATTCTGGTCGAGGGCATATGCCTGGGTTGCGGGCTCGATCCCCGGGCGGGGGCATGCAGGAGGCAGCCCATCAGTGGTTCTCTCTCAACATTGATGTTTCTGTCTCTCTCTCCCTCTCCCTTCCTCTCTGAAATCAATAAAAATATATTAAAAAAGAAAAATGAGGTGGTGAGGCCCTGAAATGAAGTGGTGATGGCAAGTATATGAAACAAGAAAACTAAGTCAGAGAGAAATCCAAGATAGGATTTGAGAACAAATTAAAAATAATAGATTAATAAGAGAGACAGACAGAAACTAGTATTACTAGAAAACTTGGGGGAGTCAGTTTGTGATACCAGATGGTAAATTCTTATTAGAGAAATTGAGTTGAGGTGGTAGCAGTTTTTCCAAGAAAAGATAATTGTGTTTGCTTTTTGTCATTTAAGAACTGTCTTTAAGGAATCATTTAGACTGTTTAACTTCAAATTTGACTATAGATTCATATTTTATTATGCTTTTAAAAATCTCTTTGACCATGTAGGTGTTGATGGATATGTTTCATCAAGATGTGGAAGATATAAATATATTATCTTTAACTGATGAAGAACCTTCCACCTCAGGGGAGCAGACTTACTATGATTTGGTAAAGGCATTTATGGCAGAAATTCGGCAATACATAAGGGAACTGAACTTAATTATAAAAGTTTTTAGAGAGCCCTTTGTCTCCAATTCAAAATTGTTTTCAGCTAATGTAAGTATCATTATGTATATCATTGCATGTGTTAATTTTACATGACGAATGAAATTTGAATTTTTATAGTTCATGATTGCTAACTTGTCAAACATTTTTAAGTTGTGGGATTTAATTCACAGTGACTATAATCACAGAGTTGCTACAACCATGACAATAAATTTAACATTATAAATTGAAAACTAGACTGATTATATAAGTAGAAATGAATTCACAGAATCTTTAATGTACTTCAAAGAAAAAACCTCTTATTTAAGCAGATTTTTTTTGTTTGTTTAATTTAACACATTTGAGTCATTCAACCAGCACTTTTATCAGTGCTGCATATGTTAAGTGCCATACTTAGCAATGAGGATTCAAAGATGAATAAGGAAAAAATTCTTAACTCAAGTTTAATCTAGTTAAGACAGAGAATATAAACTTAAAATTAAATTGCAATACAATGTGGTAATTACCATAATGTATATATATAAAAGGCTGATATGCTAAGTGTCCCTTCTTTCATCCAACTGGTCACTATGACGCTCACTGACCACCAGAGGGCAGATGCTCACATAGGGGCTCCTGAGCTGTAGTGACTTGGCAGCGGCAGTTCTCGGGTGACGCACCCTGAAACCAGAGAGGAGGGAACCAATTCCTCACGGGTTGTACGATTCCACCTTCAGCTGTGGGTTATGTTGTTGCTGGGGCACTGTCACCCTGATTCTGGTTTACTGCACACTTGTGTTTGCGTTCCATACCCTGTATGACAGCAACTTTGCAGAGTGCCCTCTTGCACTCTGGGACCCCTCGGGGGATGTCAGAGAGGCAGTTTTAGCTAATCCCTGCAGGCCAGGCCGAGGGACCCCACCTGCCGGAGGGACCCCCCACTCACTCTGTAGACGCCTTTTGAGCCACAGTGCCACCCCAGCGGTGGCCAGCTGGGGAGGGACCGTGGGAGATTGGCTCTAGGACTTGTCCGGCTCATCTCGCCCAGTCCTACCCTGCCAGCCACCTTCTAATTAATTTCCTTTCAATGTGCACGAATTTGTGCACTGGGCCACTAATAGAAGTATAACAACAGAATTTTGGAGAAGAGCACAAAGGAGGGAGCCAATAACATTAAAAATTAGAGACTAGGTTACCAGCAGGGGAGCAGTTAGGGGCAATCAGGTAGGCTGGCAGAGGTGGTTAGGGAAGATTAGGTAGGCAGGCAGGCAAGCAGTTAGGAGCCAGTGGTCCCAGATTGCCCACAGGGATCGGGCCTAAACCAGCAGTTGGACATACCCCAAGGGGTTCCAGATTGGAGAGGGTGCAGGCCAGGCTGAGGGACCTCCCCATTTCCACCTCCCCACCCCCCCCCGAGCATGAATTTCATGCCCCAGGCCCCTAGTCTTACAATAATAATCAAACCAATCTCATAGAGTCCTAGGGAATACTGAGTGAGAACAGTTGAGATTGCCTAGAGTTTCATTTTAGTAATTCCTAGAACTGAAGCCACATTGCTGTTGATGACTGATGAAGAAGCAGTGTGCTCACTACAGAGGCTGAGACTGGGGCTCAAGTTATGGCAATGAGTAAACATTAAAAAACAAAGGAGTAAATTATGAGTTGTACAAATCTATATATAGTAAAAACCATTGAATTGTCTTAAATGCATGGTATATAAATTATATTTTAATAAAGCTGTTTAAAAAATGTAAGATTTCTTAGGATACAAAAGTCAAGAACTATAAAATTAAAAATGAATTTTGGACTTTGTTAAAATTAAAACCTTTTTCTTTTCCAAATACATTTTCTGAAAAATAAAAAGGTAAGCCACAGATTGGTAAAACCTATTTGAAATACATATATCTAACAAAGGACTTGTATCCAGAATATAAAAAACTTCTACAATTTAATAATTTAAAAAAAGCCTGATATTTTTAAGTGGGCAAAAATATTGAACACTTTATAAAAGAAGATAGACCAATGACCAAAAAGGATATAAAAAAATGCTCATCCTCAATAGTCATCAAGGAAATGCAAATTAAGACCACAATGAGATACTACTATACACTCATTAGAAAGGCTAAAATTAAAAAGACTGCCAATACCAAATGTGGAAAAGAATGTGGAGCAACTGCTTATGAGAATATAAAATTCCCACATTGCTTGTGAGAATGTAATCCAGTGTAAATACTTAGGAAAAGA